ATATATACATGAAAATAAATTATTCTTAAAATTAATATATTTAAAATTGTCTCAAGTCTCAGTATCAGAAACCTTGTTCTGTAATTAGCCTTCCTTCCCAGTAATTCTTTTTTTTTGTATGAGTGATGGGGTGGTCTTCTGTACATGTTTATGTGTGTGTGAATGTCAGAGGTCTATGTCAAGTATCTTTGTTCCCTACCTAATTTTTTGAGACAGGGTCTCTCACTGAACCTGGAGCTCACTGATTCCACAGACTGACCAGCAAGCCCCAAGAACCTTTTATCTGTCTCCTAGGACTAGAATTATAAACATGTGCCACCATCCCCAGCTTTTTATGTTGATGGTGGGGATCTGAACTCAGGTCCTTATGCTTGTGCAGCAAGCGCCTTACCAACTGAGCCATCTTCCCAACTCTTTTAAAACAATGTTATTGCTTAAGTGAGGTTTTATTGGAAATGGCTTCTTGATGCTGTATATTTGTATGCATAACCCTGGTAGAGCTTTCTTACCAGGTCCTAGTAACTTAATTCCTGTTTGATTTAGCCATATCCTTCCTCTGGAAGAACTAAAATAGAGCAAGCATAGAGAAAAGGAGTGAGTTTATTGTAGGCTAGCAACTTGTTTTTGTGAAGCTTTGAGAATGGCGGAGTGTTTTCCTGCTCTTGGATTCATGGGCCTTTGAAAATAGTTTTGTCACAAAACGGCCTTATTTCCTTTAAAATGTTGAGTTTCTACAGTATAATATGTCATTCATCCAATTTCTACTGCTCTGCTCATACTCTACTGTGTATTATCTACAGTGTCACCTTGAAGTTGCCCACAGTTGTCCCTTGAATCAGGAAAGGATAAAGGCTAGTTAGGAAAGTTTAAAGCTAAGTAGAAGCAATGAAACATAGTGATAATAAACCTCTGACTTACCACTAGCAAGATTTATGGTATGAATTGGTACTCCCCCACCCCACCCCCGCCTACTGTATATATGTTACCCAGGGCAAATGCCTTAGTCCATATTTCTTTGCTTCTTTATTTATAATTGAGGTGATCCTAAGGTAGACAATTAATACTTCAGGGTGCTTATTGTACCCCAAAGAAGCACACATGGTATTTATACTCTCAAGAGGTCCCTTCTACAGTGACTGGGCCAATATGATGTGGCCCATGGAACACAATTAAGCAGAGCTTTGAAAACCACTTGTACATTGGGGCTGGTCTTAGAACGTTTATTCTTGTTCCTAAGATTTATTATATTGAAGGGAGAGAGGGGTACATATGAGTGAGGAGGAGGGAGAGAGATAGGTGCATGTGAGTGCAATGTGTTAGATCCCATGGAACTGGAGTTGCAGGCAGTTGGGAGCCACCTGATGTGAGTCCTGGGAACTGAACTCAGATCCTCAGGAAGAGCAGTTACATACTCTTAGTTACTGAGCCATCTCTCTGGCTCTTAAATGTTTGTTCTTGAGCTGTGAGACACTATGTAAATGGGGCAATCCAATTACTGGAGAAACTGGGTGAAGAGAAAGGTGCCTGGCAAAACCCTGGTCAATTCAGCATGCCAACTAGCATGTGAGTGAACAAGCCAGCCGAGTGAGTGTTCAAGCCCTAGCTGAAATACCAAGCTGAGTTTAAGTTGGGAGATAAGTGTTTTAAGCCACTGTGAGCATAGTTTATTGTAAACCAAGGTTCACTTTTGTGCCAGATATCCTGAAAGAAGCCTATGAGAAACTAAATTTATGACTGGTCAGATCCTGTTAGATTATTCACTCAGCAGACATCTGAGTTCCTAGAATACACTGGTTAAAGCACCATAGGTGTGAGCATCCATGGAGTTCTACAGTGGGTGAGGCAAGTAACAAAAACAGCTGAGAAAAAGCACAGAGCTTCCTTGACTGTGTCTCAGAACTTTTGCCTTTATGAAAAACCCATTCAATATGGATAAGCTGGGAGCTAGGGAGATGGCTCAGTAAGGTGCTTGCTGCTGAAGCATGGGGAGCCGAGTTTAATCTCCAGCACCCACATAAAAGCTGAGTGTGGTGGTACATCTGTAATCCCAGTGCTGGGGAGACAGAGACAGGAGGGTCCCTGGGACTTGCTAATGAGCTAGTCTAACCCAAGTCAGTTAGCACCAGGTTCAGTGAGAGACCCTATCTCAAAAAATAAAATGGAGACTGATAATACTCAGTATTGACCTCTGGCACACTTTCATACATGTGTACCTGCACACAAATATACACAGACGCATAAAATAGGCTAGCTGTGCTGCTGTAATGGACAACCCCAAAATTTCAAGTCATTTAAAATGATATGTCTTTCTCACACGTGTCTGTTTGAGCCTGCACAGGCTCTGTTCCACATGAAGTTCAATGGTACAGACTGATGAACCTTGGATGCTCAGTGTGACTGGAGTTGTTACCCATGTAGTGCAGGGGGGAGAAATGTGGAAAAACAGTCTTTAAAACTTATTTGGGCATTATGGTTCTGTCAGAGCTTCACATATCCATGCCTACATTTTAAAGAAGCAAAGAAGTATAATATCTGTGCCAGAAGGAAACAAGCAAAAATTTTTTAAAAACAGAGTCTACGTAGCTCTGGCTGACGAACTGGCTGTGTAGACCAGGCTGGCCTTGAACTCAGAGATCTGTTTATTGAGTAGTAAATCTCACCAGTAACTCAGTCTTCCAATTTTCTGTCCTTACATTTTTCTACTTTAAACTTTATGTGTTGGAGTTAAGACCCTGAAAGTGTACAAACTGATGTAATTGCTCCTCTTTTAAAATTATATGCAGAATACCAAAGCATTGTGGCACATGCATTTAGTCCCAGCACTCAGGAGACAAGAGGTAAGCGAATCTCTGTGAGATCAATCTTACACATACGTGCAGATTCTGAAAAAAAAAATCTAGATTTAATTTTTTGTTGACTTTTTGAAGTAGGATTATACGAAGTCTCAAACTCACCATGTAAACCAGTCTATCCTTGAATTTATAAAAATCCTCCTACCTCAGCCTCCCGAGTGTCTGAGATGGCAGATATGCCATTACTCCTGCCTTAGATTTAATATAAAGCTTTTCTGATCTAATTTTTCACGAAAATGGTTTGATACAGATCTTGAGAGAATGAAAGCAGATTGGTTGTGCAGCACATGATCCTAGAAATAAAGGAAGCCTGAATTTGAATTTGAATCTGGATTCTTCCCAGTTTCGTAGCCTTGGACAATTTAACCAGAGGGTCAGCAATGCTGATAACTACAGTAACTATCACAGTTTTAGAATTAGGTGTAAATACAACTGTCCTGTATCTGCAGATTCCACATATAGGAATGATTAAAAGTAATCTAGAGGTAATTTACAGAACGCTGGTAATGCGTGTAGATTATACAAAACTGCTGCATCATTTTATACAGGGACTTTGAACATGAAGGATATCCTCTGGGGCCCTGAAAAACTTTTACCCGACGACCTATCTCTAAGCAACGACCCCATTAATACCGTCCAAGCTTCTTTGGGCAGTAGGACACAGAATCTTGGCCAAAACCTCGCCAGTCCCCTTTCCCTTCCAGTAATGAAGAACCTTTCTGGCTACGGTACACAAAACGCCCCGCCCACTGCGGGACCTCACCCAGGTCTGAAGGGCATGCAGCAGGTGTCCTACGGCTGCCATCAGAGATGCGCTTGCGCAGAGCCCTCCGGCGTCTCGGGGGGATAGAACGCTAGGCGCTTGCGCGGGAGCCCGACGTCCTCTAGGACTTACCCAGAAGGCAGCGCTTCTCCCTCAGGTGAATATGGCGGGCAGGCCTGCTGGTGAGTGACCGGTGTCTGTCCGGGACATTGCGATGCTTTTGTTTACCTTGTTCCCCTTCTGCTCTTGCTGAGTGGCCGGGATCGAGCACAGGGGATGTGGCGGGCCAGTCCAGCGGAAAGGGCAGTCTTGGCTGGGCCGAGCCGGTCGGCTGCGCGTTGGGACGGGGGCCTCGGCCGGGAGGTGCCCGTCGCGGCTGCCGCAGCCCTGGAGCACCCGGCCTGGGCCTCCTCCCCTGGCGTCCACAGCTCCGGCCGGAGAGATGAGTGGACGACTGCCGCCGTGAACTGACGGTGTGCTGTGAGTCTAGCACTGTCCTCGGCTTTAGCTGCTGATACGCTTCCGTTGACATCTCTCTTGTGACCTTGTTCGGGGGAAATAGGCCCGAGCCCTCTTTTCCTCCGCTCACACTCCTCGGAATGCAGCTAAGCCAGGTGTGCAGGGCGCGTGAAGTGTAGATTTGGGAGGGTTTGTGAGTACTGTAGGTACCGGAACAAATACGTCGTGGGATAGAACGTCGCAGCATTTAAAACAGCACGCACTTTAGTGTACCCCCACCCCGTTATTTAAAGCTAGTCTTTGCCCTCTGGCGGTATAAGTTGGAATCGCTTTTAAAAATATATATTGGTGCCCTTCTCAGTCCCCTGAAATTGTGAAATCATAATTTCAATAGTTTGACAATTTCTTAAGGAATTCAAGGCATCTGCTTCTGTGTTGTGTTGGGGAACCAGAGACCTGATCCTAACAGACCTCCCATCTGTAATCCTGCTTCTTTTTCTGCAACAGCAGGCTAACTCAGCTAACCTGAGCAAACAGGATACTCCTGGCACATTACAGGTGTTAAGTGAATATTACTTATTATTGTAATCATTGCTGACAAATTTATCTCTCACACGTGTATTTTTTTTCCACTCTCATTTTTGAGACAGAGTAATCTTAGCCCAGGCTGGGTTCAACCACTGTATGGAAGGGTGACTTTGAACTTCGCATCTTTTGCCTCTGTTGGGATTACAGGTGTGCACCATCAAGCAGTTTTTTGTGGTTGGAGATGGAACCCAGGGCTTCATGGTGCTAGTTAGGCAGGCACTCTACCAATTGAGCTACATCCCTAACCCTTGGCTCTTTTCTCTTTTTTTTTTCCCCTAGAAACAATTTCAAACATGACTCTTAATTTCTAAGATTTGCTAAAACCATGTAATCTGTACTGTCCTGAGGAATAGGAAATCAGAAGAAGTTGGATTGAGAAGAGAGCTTGCTTTTCTTTTTTCTTGGTGAGGGAGTAGCCCTAGACAGAATTAAAATAAAAAATTTAGGGTCTGAGGCAATAGTTCACTTGGTAAGGTACTTGCCTTACAAGCATTGGACCTGAGTTAAAGCCTAAAAACCTCTGTTCTATTTTTTAAAGTGCACTGTCCTAGCCCATGATTGTAATCCCAGTGCTGGAGAGGTAGAGACAGGTAGATCCCTGGGCTCACTGACCAGTCAGCCTAACCTACTTTGCAAGTTCTAGGCCAGTGAGAGAGGCATCCAACCACATATGCACTTTAAAAGAGAGGAAAGAAAAAGGCTAAACTTGTTTTGCCCTGTCTATACCACATCCGTCCTATGACCATGCTGCCCTTAGCTTCTGCCAGGCTCCTTCCTCCATGTTCAGCCTTGTTCCCCAAGAGTTGTGGGGTGTTTGGTTTGTTGTGCTTTTGCATGCTAAGCATGATTTCTACCATGAACTACATTCCCAGCCCCTATTTTAGTTTTTTGGGTTTTGTTTATTTCGTTTATAAAAAGCTTGGAACTCATAATCCTACTTCAGCTTCCTAAATGCTGAGATTACAGGCCTGCCCTGCCAAAGTTAGCCCTAAAGAATTTTTTTTTAATTTATTATTTTTATTTTATGTGTATGCATGTATTGCCTGCATGGCATGTAGGTAAGTGCACCTTTGTTGTGCAGTGCCCGTGGAGGTCAGAAGAGGCTGTTGGATCCCCTGGGACTGGAGTTACAGACAGTTGTTAGCTGCTATGTGGGTGCTGGGATTCGAACCCGGGTCTTTTGCAAGAGCAACCAGTGTTCTTAACCACTGAGTCATCTCTCCAGCCCCATACCCTAAAGAATTTTAACATGGCCTGTTTCTCCTTATCCATGATTAAATATTCCCTTGATGGACAGTTAACTGTTTAGGTGGGGAAAATAGGCTTCTTTTAACAATTAATATTTAAGTGATTAACTGATTGTATAAAAATATTTCCAGAAATAAGTATATTTTAAAGAGGATGGCCAAGTGAAATAACTTAAACTAAAAGTTTTAAGAGAATGGGGGTGTACAGCCTGCTACGTACTCCCAAGCTCTCACCAGCTCTACAGCCTTTGAAAAGGAAAATTTATTTCTACAACCACAAATTAGAAATATTCTAAGTCACTCCCCTGTCTATCCTTCAATTCTTATGGTGGCAGGTGATGTAAGGGCAAATGTAAGAGCCTGAAGTATCAGTGAAGTGTACCTGTGGTATTAGGTGCATTTAGTGTGTGAATTCACCCTTTTCTCCCATGGTGTCATAGGTAAAATAAATAACTCTATCTACAATGTATATAAAGAGAAATTCCTTCTTACATTTATAAGATTACTGGTTGCTGCCTAGCAATGTGTTGTATAAGTGGACTGTATCAGTTAACAGTATGGTGATTACCAGTTGCAGCTTCAAGCCGCTGGCTGGATGGTGTTCGAAAATGGTATTACAATGCTGCAGGATTTAACAAACTGGGTGAGTATCTGGGCTTTCTCTCGTCATCTTCCTCCTCCTGTTCTTTTATAAAAATTATTATGGTTATGGTTCAAAATACAGTTTTGTGTATATCCAATTTTAAATTAGGTTACATTTTGTTGTCATGATTCTTTTTGAGAGGAAAGGGATAAAGTCCTCTAAATGTTAAATGTTTGCTCCCACAGTTTCATGAGGTTTGTGATCTTTCTTAGAGCTTTCTAATTTATTATGACCTTCATCTTTTGGTATTGAAACCTAATGGAAGTCTCAGTAAATCTTATGGTTGCCTAGTATCTTTCTAAGTTCTTTAATGTCTTTCATTTTAATTATTATTGTGTTGTGTGTCTGCACAGGATGTGTGTGAATATGGGTGCATACATGCCAGAGCCCACATGTGGAGGTCAGAGGACAGCTTTAAGACTCAGTTCTACCTTCCTCTATGGGTTCCAGGGATCGAACTCAGGCCTTTAGGCTTGTGCAGTCATCTTTACCTGCTGAGCCATCTCACTAGCCCAAGTTTTTTAATATTTTGATCATATATTTTCAAGGACAAGATAAACACTTTAAATATTTTCTGAATTGGTTTAGATGAAATTTGAATTTGTGATAGTGATTTTAAAAGGCCCATGTATTGTTTCAAGAAAAACTTATGTATGAAATGCTTTTGGTTTCCATGGTGTCTAGTGATTTGAACTCCTGCTTTTTATTACATTTTAAGTCATAAAGATATTTTACTCAGGGAGTAAAAGCACTTGCTATGTAAGCCTAATGACCTGAGTTCAGATCCCCAGATCACACGTAAAAGCCAACACAAAAGCATCTATAATTCTAGTGCGTCCCTACAGGGAGATGGGAAGCAGAGACTGGAGACTCTCCAGAAGCTCATGGCCACTTTATGCAGCAGTGGAGACCCTGTCTCAAAGTGGAAAGGCGAGGACTGACACATGAAGTTTACTTCTGATCTCCACGTGCTCATGGTAGCATGTGTGTGCACATGCATACAAACACACAAGCACAAAAAAGAAAAATCCTTGCCAGGTATTATGGCTTATGCCTGTAACTTCAGCACTGTGGGAGCTGAGAAGGGAGGGGTGCAAGTCCGAGGCAAGTAAGAGTAAGTCTAAAAGAAAACAAACCAACATTGATTTTTGAGATAGCTATTTAATGTGACCTTTATTTTCTATCTTAGGGTTAATGCGAGATGATACACTAAACGAGACTGAAGATGTGAAAGAAGCCATAAGAAGGCTTCCTGAAAACCTTTATAATGACAGAATGTTTCGCATTAAGAGGGCTCTGGACCTGACCATGAGGCATCAGATCTTGCCTAAGGAACAGTGGACAAAATATGAGGAGGTAGACCCAAGTTTTATGTGCCTTGACAGTGTTGGATGTATCTGACATTGAGGGTGAAGTATTAAAAACAGGAGAAGCAAGTTGTTCATGGTGATGCACACCTTTAATTCCAGCACACAAGGAAGAGGCAGGTGGATCTCTGTGAGATCAAGGCCGGCCTGGTAGTTCCAGGACAGCTGAGGCAGCAGGGAGAGCCTGTCTCAAAAATATACACAAAACAAAAAAACCAGGAGAAGCACATTGATTTGCATAGTGCTTTAATGCTCTTAGAGTTATGCCAAAAACTGCCAGCTCTATTTTAGAAAAAAGCACAAATGAGGCTTGAAGGTGAAGTGACTTACAAAATCACTAAGCAAGTCTCTAAGAAGACCTAGGCTGAACTGGGTCTTCTCCTTCCTAAACCATTATTTTCTCTCTACTCTTTCCTGCCCAAATGAGATTTTTAGTTATATGAAGGCCACTGAGTGATCCTCCATCTCCTGGGATGTTCCCCAGCTACACTGAACCAGGCACAAGCCTACAGACTTTGACTCTTCCTTGGTACTTTCCTCTTAGAACCTATCAAAGCTCATGACTGCAGTACTTTTGAGAGTTTTTATGTTTAAAAAGCACGTGGTTCCTGGTAGTTCAGAATATATTTTCTTAAGTCTCAAGCAAAAGTAATTCATTGTAATGAGTTTCATTTGTGGCTTAAGACCTATTCTTTTCTTCATTCTTTAGGATAAATTCTACCTTGAACCGTATCTGAAAGAGGTTATTCGGGAAAGAAAAGAAAGAGAAGAATGGGCAAAGAAGTAATCTCGTAGTTGACATCTGGATGTATCTGTTTTCAGTAGTTTTGTGTAGTTGGTTCATCCTGAATCAAATATTAAGAATTACTTGATCTGCAGATATCTTATTTTAAATAAATGTCTATTGTAATCATTGTTGGAATGTTTGAATCCTAAACCTTACTTTGATTATTACTGAATTGACTTTCCTGTCACGTTCTTTCCAGCTGTCTAAGATACTTTTAGTCGGTGCTGAACTGCTTCTTGGGAATCTGTGCATACTTGTAATCCCAGCATTTAGGAGGCAGAGATGGGAGGATTTTGTATGGTCCTAGCCTGGACTACACAGTGAAACCCTGTTTCAAAAAACAAGACCATCTTAGAGGTTGTGCTAAAATAATAGAAAGCTAATTTATTAAACTCCCAGAGAAGCTTCTTTCCGATTATATTTTGAAGCCCATCCTGAAAATTATTCTTGCCAGTTTTCTAGTTAGATTTGCCTTTAAAATAGTTTTGTTCATGGTCAAGGTAATCCTTAATATTAAATGGCATCTTTAATATTTAAGTTTAATAATGCTAAAAGAAGTTCAGTGGGGCTGAGGCTGAGGTATAACAGGATCAAGCATATCTGGGCTACCCACCTGTTGACAGTTGAAACTATGACATGGCAGCAGGGTAGCCTCTGATCTGGAGAGGGTTCCTAAAACCGAACTGTCAGTCCATGCCACTCAGCTACACAGTTCTAAATAACAATTGTGTTCAAGTTCTTTTTAAACCATAGGACACTCATCAGTGTTTTTACAATTATAAATTTCTAGTTTGCTTCTTCATTGCTGTGACAAAACACTCTGACCAATACCAACTTGGGGAGGAAAGGGTTTATTTTGCTTATATCTCCCAGGCCACACAGGTCATCACTAAGGGAGCCCAAGGTAGGAACTCAGGGCAGAAACCTGGAGTCAGGAGCTAAAGCACAGGCCATTTAGGAACACAGCTTACTGGCTTGCTCCCCTGGCCCATGCTCAGCTTACCCTCTTATACAATACAGAACAGCCTACCCAGGGGTGACGCTGCCCTCAGTGGGCTGGGCCCTCCTATATCACTCAACAATCTGCCCTCAGTGGTCTGGGCCCTCCCACATCACTCAACAATCAAGGAAATACCCTACAGATGTGGCCACAGGCCAGTTAAGTGGAGGGAATTCCACAATTGAGGCTTCCTCTACCCAAGTGTGTTAAGGTGACAACCAAAGCTATTCAGTACAGTGGAGATCTGAGTCTTTTGAGAGTAAGTGGATGGAAAGAATAGTTAACAGATCAGGGGAGTCCTGTCATTGAAGAGGAAGGAGCACCTTTCTGTTAGGAAGAACTTTCCTATTGAAGTCACCACATGGCAATCTGAAACAGCTAAAGAAAAAATAGAGGAGTTCTGAGATGATCTGGATTGGATCACACGGGCCTCAATCCATTCACTTCCTCTATAACTAGGAAAAGTAGTCTCTGTGCCTCAGTTTACTCAGCTCTAAACTAAGGCTAATGATAGAACCCATTTTACAGAGTTATAAAGATTAACTCACCATGTTATGTATATCAAGACCTGAGAGCCCTTTCTGGCATACAGAATAAATTTGGGGAAACGCTGAGCCCCATCAAGACTAATTAGTGCCCAGTAACCAAGACCTGGGTGCTCTCTTCTGTCTCCTAGGGGGCACACACTCTAGCTCCATCGCTCCCCTTGGATGAAGTTCCTGTCATCTAAGACAGGAAGAGGAGGAATTGGATCTGTCTAGCACCTATGATGAGGATGGAACCCAGTTGGATCCCAATTTTTCCTCTTAGATTGACAATGTTTTCAGGCTTCCAACATGTATTCTGCTAGTTTGCTTTGTTGGGGCTTAAAATGTCTTATTTATTGTTCAAACTTTGAGCTTGAGCTTGGTTTTGAATACATGGTCTTCGAGATCTTGAAGGAAGATAGACTACTGAGAAGTAGTCTATGTTCTGTACTTGAAATTTTTACTGTGCTTTATTTTTTAAAAAATATTTTATGTGTATGAGTGTATTGCTTGCATGTATGTAAGTGTACCCCTGTCATGCAATGCCTGCAGAGGTCAGAAAAGGACATCAGCTCCTCTGGAACTGGAGTTAATGGACAGTTGTTAGTGCCATGTGGGTGCTGGGAATCAAGCCTGGGTCCTCTGCAAGGGCACTTTTAAAATTCTATCTAAAACAGAGAGTTGGTTCCCTGTTAGGCACTTCAGGGTCACTCACCCTTCTTTTGCCAGAGTGTATGAAACAGACTAAGACGTTTTGGGATTTCAGATCCCAAAAGCTGGTGCTGGTCTAATTCCATATCACATACAAATATTTGATAATGTTCTCCACACATGGCACCAAATGTTAAATAAGGAATCTTTACTAATAATACCATTGCCTCCTTTAAAACTCTAAAATCTTAATAAGGTTTAATGTGTGCCTTGTAATAATTTCATGTAGCTATTCATAGACTCCCATTTAAGGCATTGACTCTACATTAATTCTGACTTGCTAAAAGATTCAAAATCAGAATAAAAACTGGGCCAAAGCCCAAAATCCTATAACCCATCATAATCCTTCCAAAGTCACAAACAGGACGGTGTTTTAAAAATTTGGCTATGTTGTGTGGGTTTGAAAAGAAAGTACCTGTAATGAAAAAGTTAAATAAATGTAAAAGCTGTCACTCCCCAATCCTTGGTAGCCCGGTGAATGAAGAACAGAGGGCTGTATACTGTTGTGGGTGGGATGCATCTTAGGAACTCCAGCCTCAGTGATGACTATAGCAAGATGTCTCAGACCGCTCTAGGAAGTGGTTCCCTTATTAGAATAAGAACTAAAATATTGCCACTAGATGGCGGTACACTACAACACACTGTTGTGGAAGATTTATCCGTTTTGTACCCCCACCAACTTCATTTTTCAAGATGACAACACCTTACAGGTTTATGGCCATCAGGAGAATTTACTACTAAGCTATATACTGATGTAATGAAATCTAATATATGCTGTGTAATGAATTATGAGATGTTATTTAGTTTGGGGATTTTATTACTTCAATCAGTTATGACCATATTTCCTTTTATATGATTGCTCACTCTTTAAACATACCAGATGACTGCATAAGGAACACCTAATAAAATCCATATATGTGAAAATATAAATGTTTTCATTTATTTGCCATAATTTGTTTAAATTTTGGTTGTATGGGTATTGATGTAAAAAGCCATACTATAGGACCAGTGAAATGGCACATCAGGTAAAGGTGCTTGCTGTCAAGTGCTTGTCCTGCCAAGTTCAATCCTCATGATGCATGCCCACACACATACACATACACAAACACAAATAAATGTTAAAAAATTAAAATACTGACATTAAGGGGGGGAGCCATAGCATGTTAGAATTCAAGATCTCGGACCTGGTGATGCATCTAAGTTATATTCTGTAAGAAATTTCCTGTGTGTATTAACAAACAGGAATACAAGCTGAATCATTACCAGATAGTTAATTTTCAGCCTGTTAATATATGAGTGGTTTATGGCAAACTAAATAATTTTGGGTTCTGACTCAATCTACAGTAGAAAGAATGTATTTATTTAACTTTGTATTTAATATATTTGCCTATTTTTGCATAAATGCCAGAAATGTAATTTTTAAATAAACCCCTGTGGAACTTCTGGTAACATTATTCAATTGAATTAATGTTCTGTGTATTCTAAATATTTTTAAGAAAATTTTTTGCATACCTTCAAAAATTATATTTGCAGTCTAAACCAAGAGGGATAATTGTTTCTTTTTAGAAGAGTTAGCTTGTGGTTCCTTCTACATGCGTTTAAAATTTGGTTTGCTACTAAGATGGAAACTTAGACGAGGCCAAGGATTCAACAGGGAGGTCATTAACCTTTATAGATACAGTTTTTCAGCTATGAAGTGAAGGAATTTGACTACAAAGTCAGTATGACTCATTTCAGCACCAAAACTCTCTGGGTCTACTACTTGGTTTATTACTTCATTGTTAGGGTGAACTAATATTGATGGAGCACCAACTGCCCCAGACACTGTTCCACATGTCTCCTGTTCTCTTCCTTGCACCCTCTTGCCATAGATGTTACAATGCCCATTGCATGAGTAGTAAACTGGGCCTGAAAAGTTCATGTTGACATATGTATACCCCCCCCACACACACACATGAACATGCGCAAGTGGAACCCCGCATTTGGAAGGTTGAAATACAAAGATCTCCAGTTCAAGGCCAGCCTGGGACACAAGGCGACACTAAATTAACAAAACCAAACCACAGCTCATTTTATTCTACATCAGTATATAATTTTGTTAAGTGTTGGGGGAGAAGGTGTATTTTTTTTATGTTCCAGGCTAGGTGGATACTAGATATAAGGCAGAGCTTCTCAACTATTGACATTTGGGGCAGAATAACTTGTGGGGAATTATTCAGAATATTGTATTGTTGAACATTTAACTACATCTTTGTCTTCTGCACTCAATATTAGTGCCACCTCTTCCCGTTATTGAAAAAATAATATTGTTGGATGGTCCCTTGGGAAGAGGACAGAATTGTCCCCATTTTGAAAACCACCAATGTAGGAAATATCAGAATAAAAACCAACATAATAGTGACACATACATAATTAGACATCTAAATATGTAAATAAGTATGAAATTATTATGTAAATTTTCTGTAATATGTACTTGGTGATATGAAAACAAGGAGAAGGGAAACAAAGTCAGCCTGGAGAGGGCTTAGGCAAAACCTGACAACCTTGCTGATTCCAGAATAGTGAGCCAAGCCAAAAAGGTGGTGAGGCGCTCCCAAGTAAAAGGAGCAGAAAATGGCTCCAAGCATGGAAACACAGGTTTTGCACTGATGGACCGACAAAGGTCAGATGGGGAGATGTGGGAGATAAAACTTGGAAGATGCATGCCGTAGTGAGCCGCTTGAATTTCATTCTGTGTGGAGAAAGATATATTGATAGATTTGGGGAAGTGACAGTGTCAGGTCTAGGGGGAGGAATAATGTTTCTCAGTATTTTACTGCCAGTTCATGCTTTTTTAAAGTTTATAATAATCTGTATGCCTCAAAACCCTCCATGGAGGCCTTTTCCTTCC